CTGAATAGCGGTAAAACGCCTGGCCCTGATGGACGTCCAATGGAATTCTATAAAACATTTAAAAATAAATTAATGCAGCCACTTCTTAACATGTATGAGGAGTCATATAAGTCCGGAATACTCCCAGACTCACTGAGATTAGCTACAATAACCCTTTTATTGAAGCCAAATAAGCCTCCGACTAAATGCTCCTCTTATAGGGGAATTAGTCTTATGGGATGTGATTTTGTGTAAAGCACTCTCTAGGAGACTAGATAAATATGTGCCTAATTTGATAACAGACAATCAACAAGGTTTTGTTAAAACGAGACAAGGCTATCATAATATAAGACGTGTCCTCAATGTACTTTATGAGAAAAACAATAGGGAGGACACTGCGCTGCTATCACTAGATGCGTGCAAAGCCTTCGATAGAACAGAATGGAATTATCTCTTACAAGTGCTCCCCAGATATGGACTAGGTGAAACATTCCTGAAATGGATCCGATTATTGTATACACATCCAACAGCACAAGTTTTAACTAATAATAACGTATCAAAACCTTTAATTTACAGCGATCAACCAGGCAGGGCTGCCCTCTGTCACCAATTCTCTTTGTGTTAGCAATAGAACCTCTGGCCATAGCTGTGAGAGCAAATGCAGGAATATCAGGGATAAGAATTGGAGGAAGAGAAAATGCATTTCATATTTGAGTAAACAACTCATGTGCTGTTCCTTTAGAGCAAGACAATATCTTTCCTTATGTAGGAAAGACCCTGAATATTGTATTTATCCCCAAACTCTATTGGAGAGAAATTACACTATACCAAATGGCATCCCATCCTTGTTATCCTGGAAGAGAGCATGATCATAAGAATAAAAATGTTTTTTTAAACCAGAGGATAAACAAGACTCCAACCCATCTCAGTAATACCAAACCTCCAGATCCTCTTATAGATTAACTATTCTCTTGTTTCCCCTTTAAGCCGTCTGTACTTTCAATTAAATAACGTCCATTTCATTAGCGTTTTGGTATTTTTGATCAGACCCCATATATTCTCTCGGTGCCTCTTCTGAAGCTCACAGATGAACTACTGGACTCTGGAGACCAGGGGCTGGATTTCTCATGTCGTTAAGCTTATTTCGCCATGGCAACACAAGCTGGTGTTATAATTCAAAGGCAAATTTCTATCGCTCTGCAAACATGCTTACAGCTGGCAATATGAATAAGCGGTGTCAAATGTGCATATTCACTAAATGCCACATGGTTTAATTAATGGCTTCACAGAAGAACTTTTTAAAAGTGACTGCTGCCTTTCCTCATCAATTTCATTCATTTTAAAGCCTTTAAAGCCTTCAAAGAAATGCATGGGTTCAAAAAAAAAATATGTCCAGTGTATTGAAATATCAGCAATACAAGGTGTTTCTGCTCATAACAGCTCAGTGGATCATAAGGTTTTTCTCTATAATCTTTACCTTAAACTGCCCGGAGACAACTACGGCTTAAAATTGGTGCTTAATAAAAACATTTGAATTTAATGGGTTTTTTTCCCCCCCTATCTTTAGTCACAGGAAGAACAAGAAGTCCCACAACAGATGGTTTGGCCGCCGATAGGGCCCTAATCTCTACATCATGGATTCAATTTGAGATGATATGAAGAGACAGACGACATTAAGAGAGAATAAATCTACTGAAGAAATGTGCCGGGTTCTCCAAGAGCAACAGAGTTGCCAAACATCTCCACAAAAAACAAAACAACAGTGTGCGCATGCATTTTCATTCGTACTTTATTAAAATAAATACATGAATAAAATTGATTTAGCCTTTTGTTTAGTTCTCATCCTACACCTTTTAAGCATGTTATTTACTGAACTTGTCAAACATACATACAGTGAACCGTGGCAAAGCTTTCCAAAGTTCTACTATACTATGTGTGGTAAAAGATCAGATCATATGTGCCCATTCGGTCAGAACATTATGCACTTGTAGCTCGTACCTTGCACTTCATCATGTCGCTGACCCTCTGCTGCATGGACTGCCCAGCTTTGGGTCTGACCAGGATGTAAAGGGCTTTGACCTCAGGGCAGGACCTCAGCAGCTTCTCCACCAGCACTTTTCCCATGAAGCCCGTGGCTCCCGTGATCAGCACATTCTTGCCAGCGTAGTATTCCACTACGGACGCCATGCTGCTACCCGTTGCGCCACCGCAGATGTCTGTCAGTCTGGTTTGTGCGTCTGTTGCTTGCTCTCCTAACCCGTCGAGGTCCCGGCCTTCACACAAGTCCTGCAGAGCGAGCGGGAGGATAAGAATGAGGATAGGCAACCTCAAACTTTAAATACTGGATCAGTGTCTCTAAAGCTGGTGTCAGTTTAAGCAATGAAGCATGCGGCAAGAAGCTAAATATGAACTGTGAATCGCACTAATGCAACAAGTGCACAGTTACGCATGAATGTCCAGGCTTTGACAGATTTAGTCTCATGTATCTGGAAATGAAAACAAGCATTTCAATAAATTGAAAAATATGCATCAGTGGTGGCACGTCTCTGTTTTGACCTTCAGAGAAGACGCATGTAACTAGTCTGCAAACTTTATGAATATTTATACCATGAGGGGGAGGGAGGGTGATGCTCGGGGCAGTGTGACATCAGCTGCATGTGTGAGCGTGGGTACGAGTGTGTCAGGTCCACCAGCAAGGGTTCAGCAAGATTTTAAGCAGCAACTGATCACCGCTAACCACAATAACCTTTATCATTTATTCATGAATGCAAAAAGCAACAAATCAGAAATTATTTTTACCTGTACAAAATATAGTAAACAATATAATTTGGTCATAGATTGACTCTTTGAATACCACTGACATGAAAAAGCAGCTTAATATTTGATTAACCGATGAGCCATTTTAGAAGCAAACTAGTTTAAAAAAAACAAACATCAAAGTTTAAATTATTCTACTAAGGTTCAACTCACTCAAATTTAGTTTGATAGAAAAAAGAAAAGAAAAGAAAATATCAGTTTGGACTCTGTATCTGTCTTGAAGGGACTATCATTGAACAGAGGCTATGATGCAGTCTAGAGATCTATTCCCAGGTGATTCAACCTCCACTTATACCTTGACTCATGTGCTTAATGACTCCCATGACACGGGAGAGTTGGTCAGTGACTCTCAGGACCATCTACAAGGTGACAACCCTATTAGAGGTTAAATATCTGAGTCTCCTTCAACAGTTGGAACTAAAGCAGCCTTTTGGATGACAGGAAAAGCATCTTCAAGAACCTAAAACAAATTCCAGCTGCCTTCTGCTGAAGCACTTCAGACTAAACATTCAAACTGTCTGCTAAAAATTCCCAAAACTCCTTTTATCCATGCATCCAAATTAAAACCAAACTTAGTTTAGAAACAAAGTAGGGAAGAAAGCTTTCATGTTACTCTACTGCTCTGCTGTGTTCAGATTTGGATATATAATACGTAACTGAGGACATGCAAATATATCGCATAATATAAATAGCTTTTTATGATTGTAAACCAATTACAGTGAGGATTGCTAGAATCAAAATTTGACTATTATTCCCAGCTGCAGTTATTTATATGTCACCGCTTTGATCTCGGAAAACCAAACCTAAAACAGGGAAGGCGTTAGTGACAATCAGTGTCTGAATATAAACACAGGCTTCCACATACATCACAGTTAAGTCAAAATGTTGAATGTTGTCATTGTGTTTCTTAAATTTGTAAAGTCTTGGTTCAAACTATAGGATCAAAGGCATTTCTTTGTCCCCCTCCCCAGCCTCTCGAGGTTGTGGGGGAGGCTGTAGTGTTTTATCACAGACACATCCCTTGTGAAGATTCTGTTTGTTGTTTGGTAAACTTCCTGCCCTTTTATGGCTTCACCTGTGTTGTGTATGGTGAACCAATACAGGAATTGACCGGTTGAAGATGTTCTGTTTTGTCTTGTGTTCTTCATGAGGAATAAGTCTCTAAACTAGCGGGGCCTGTGGAAACACAGACTCAACAATCACTATGGTTGACCATTGTTTGCCTGGGTTTGCTTCAAGGTGAAGACAAAAACGTTGGGCCTCAACTAACAAATGTATAATTTTAGTTATGATGATGCAGAACAAAACTAAAGCAGGCGACGCACTTGAAGTGAGCAAGTGCATGAGAAATTACATTACGCCAGGACCTTGGAGGCGGAAAAGACTCACATATATTAAATGTACAAGACTGCTGGTATATTGAAGTGAATGGTATGATTTCAGTAATGACAAAGTGAGCTGCAACCTTCAATCCCAGCAAACAAGTTTGGTTTAAAGCTATAATAAAAAAAATTATAAAAAAAAAAAAAAATTTAAATGCTAAAGCTTATCTTTAACCATCTGACATTATGCGTATTCCACATGCAATAAATCACATAACTGGGTTTTATGGCAGTTTTTAGTTTTATTTGACACCTGTGTTGTAACACTAACACTGACTCTGTTGGACTTTGCCCTTATTTCCTGTAGACAATAGACGACTATAACTGAATGCAACCTGAGAAGTCACATGGCCGCAGATAAGCTGCGTTTGTGACTCAGTGAGGGAGGTTGTGCCATGAGTCCATCTGATCAAAGCACTGTGTTGATGTGTGGGCTAAAAGCTCACCAGCACACTGCCAGCATTTGTGTGCAACCACGCCAACTAAGCATTGATAAATCACACGCCTCTTAAAGACTAGATGACAGCTACCCGTCTCTGGTTGGTGTCACCCCCCCATCCCCACCCCACACCAACCAGTCACAGAGGGAGGGTGGCAGCGCGCCCAGTCTCATCCAACTTTTTGGCAGCAGCCAATAAAAATGCAGGACTTGACTTGTAAAATTTTCACTTGGCAACAATAGGCACAACATTTAGCCAAGACTGATGCTTGATCAGCACCTTCAGTGATACAGCAGAGCTGTGATTGTACACAAGATGAAGCTACACTCCTTCTCTTTGCTTCGTTCATCCTCTCTCCTGTGCTGCAGATTCCCAGCATGTCTGCCCAAAGACAAAAATCAAATCCTCCTGAGCCAAACGTGGCCCAGATAACAAAAACAATCTTGTATTTACTTGCTTTCCCTCCATTCTGCTGTCTGTGCATGCAATTTTAAAAATCAGATTCCCTTTCCACACAAACACGAGGAAAAAAGATGGGTGTGTGCATTCAGTTTGGGTTTCTACATGCCTGCACTTGAAAAACAAAAAATGTGTTCCAGAAACTAAAACGCCGGGGCTCCTACTGACATCTATGTTTAATCCCAATTTTGTCCCATTATTTTAATTCGATATTCCCCATCTTCAACTTTCAGACAAGGCAGTATCTCCAGATC